TTTCACTATATTAAGGGGAGAGGGCGCCTTCACACACATATTCGATGTAAAATATTTTCCGCCCCCCAGCGGAGCGCTTCGGCGCCTCTGGGAAGCAAAGCGCGGCCTTCAAAAACAACAACCAAAATTGCCGTCGCTTCCCTGCCCTGCAATGGCTGGAGCAGAAGGAGAGAGATTTTAGTCTCATTGGATCAGAGGAATGGCAGCGGAGCGGGCTTATGGGGCGTAGGCTCGCGATCTATCAATTACACTTGCCAGGTCTCTCTTCCGTTTGGCCATTATTTACTCCGTCTCTCTCTCGGCACACACGTCGCCACCCTACTAGTTTCCGTCACAGCATATGCTGCGGCCTTTCAGTCCGGAACGGGGCTCCCCTTCGCCTTGCTGTCTGCCCAACTTAGCGGACTTGCGTTGGCTGATCACCCCGTCTTCGCGTCTGTGCCGGCCTTCAATGCAGCGCCCAACCGTCTCTTGACCGAGATTCATTGCACTATTCCACGCGCAAACGGCTAACCTAAATGTGCATAGACAACGCTCATGGTTCAACACGACCAGGGCGCAGTCTGGGAGCCGAGTATACTAAAAAGAGAGTTTAGCAGCCAAAACTCGTCAAAGCACACGTTGGGTTACCCCATCACCTAACAACGATGATGGCGGTTCCCACCCGTGAAATACACAACCTAACCAATATTGGGCGACGATGGCGCTCATGAGCCCACGTCCCCACAAACAGTAAGAGAAAGAGAGAGAGAGGAGGAGATGGGCCAATGTGCGGTCCCTCGCCCAATGTCTTATGCCTCGCTGGGGCAAAGAGAAGAGAAGAGGAGCGGATAAGGGAGGAGATTGGCCAACGTGCGGTCCCTCGCCCAATGTCGGCTGCCTCGCTGGAGCTGGGTAAAGAGGAGAGGAGCGGATAAGGGAGGAGATTGGCACACACGGTGGCGCTGCCGGCGCCGAGGATAGCAAGAGAAGGTGCAGTTTGATCTGATCATCTGGTTTGCTATTCCTCTAAGGCCAACGTGCGGTCCCTCGCCCAATGTCGGCTGCCTCGCTGGGGCAAAGAGAAGAGGAGAGGATAAGGGAGGAGATTGGCACACACGGTGGCGCTGCCGGCGCCGAGGATAGCGAGAGAAGGTGCAGTTTGACCTGATCATCTGGTTTGCTATTTCTCTAAGGCCAACGTGCGGTCCCTCGCCCAATGTCTTCTGCCTCGCTGGGGCAAAGAGAAGAGGAGCGGATAAGGGAGGAGATTCGCCAACGTGCGGTCCCTCGCCCAATGTCGGCTGCCTCGCTGGAGCTGGGGCAAAGAGGAGCGGATAAGGGAGGAGATTAGCACACACGGTGGCGCTGCCGGCGCCGAGGATAGCAAGAGAAGGTGCAGTTAGATCTGATCATCTGGTTTGCTATTTCTCTAAGGCCAACGTGCGGTCCCTCGCCCAATGTCTTCTGCCTCTCTCTCAATCTCACTATTTTGGCCGCCGTGATAGGCGCCGCCAACAGCAGCAGCTACCTGGTTGATCCTGCCAGTAGTCATATGCTTGTCTCAAAGATTAAGCCATGCATGTGTAAGTACAAGCCGATTTAAGGCGAAACCACGAATGGCTCATTAAATCAGCTATGTTTCATTGGATCTGTAAACCCACTTACTTGGATAACTGTGGCAATTCTAGAGCTAATACATGCAATTGGTCTCTGACCGCAAGGGAAGAGCGCTTTTATTAGTTCAAAACTGGTCGGGCCCCGGTCCGTAACCCACCTGTGGTGAATCTGAATAACTTCGGGCTGAGCGCACGGTCTCCGCACCGGCACCGCTTCTTTCAAGTGTCTGCCTTATCAGCTTTCGATTGTAGGTTATGCGCCTACAATGGCTATAACGGGTAACGGGGAATCAGGGTTCGATTCCGGAGAGGGAGCCTGAGAAACGGCTACCACATCTAAGGAAGGCAGCAGGCACGCAAATTACCCACTCCCGGCACGGGGAGGTAGTGACGAAAAATAACGATGTGAGTCTCATCGACCGCCAATCGGAATGAGTACACTAAAATCCTTTAAGCAGTATCCATTGGAGAACCCAGTCTGGTGCAACAACCATGATAATTCCAGCTCAATAAGCGTATATTAAAGTTATTGCGGTTAAAAAGCTATGATTGGATCTCAGTTCGGACTGACAGTTACCGCCGGTGTTTACTATCGCGCTCCGAACAACGCCCCGCCGGCTTCGCCGGGATACTCTTTAGCCAGTGTCGAGTGGCGGAGGATTTACTTTGAAAAAATTAGAGTGCTCAGAGCAGGCTATTTGAATGGCCCGAATGGTGATGCATGGAATAATGGAATAGGACCTCGGTTCTATTTTGTTGGTTTCGGAACCGGTAATGACTGTCGGAACAAGCGGGGCATTACGTGATACCGGCCTTCTAGGAAGGTGAAAATTCTTGGACGTCGCAAAGACGAGCTACTGCAGCATTGCAAGGATGTTTTCATTAATCAAGAACGAAAGTTAGGAGTTCGAGGCGATCAGATACCGCCTAGTTCTAACCATAGCGATGCCAGCTAGCGATCCGCCCGGTGATTATTCCCATGACCCGGCGGGCAGCTTCGGTAAAAGTCTTTGGGTTCGGGGGGAAGTATGGTTGCAAAGCTGAAACTTAAAGGAATTGCCGGAAGGGCACCACCAGGAGTGGAGCCTGCGGCTTAATTTGACTCAACACGGGAAACCTCACCAGGCCCAGACACCGGAAGGATTGACAGATTGAGAGCTCTTTCTCGATTCGGTGGGTGGTGGTGCATGGCCGTTCTTAGTTGGTGGAGCGATTTGTCTGGTTAATTCCGATAACGAACGAGACTCTGGCCTACTAAGTAGTCGACGGATCTCCAGAAAATGGTGTCAGTTCGCAACTTCTTCTTAGAGGGATAAGCGGCAATTCTAGCCGCACGAGATTGAGCAATAACAGGTCTGTGATGCCCTTAGATGTTCTGGAGCCGCACGCTACACTGAAGGATCAGCGGTTTTCCCCCTCCGAGAGGGCGGGTAACCCGTTCAAAGCCTTTCTTGATAAAGTTAGGGCTTTACAATTGTTTCCATGAGCGAGAATTCCCAGTAAGTGCAGAGTCATCATCAGCTTGCGCTGACTACGTCCCTGCCCTTTGTACACACCGCCCGTCGCTACTACCGATTGAATGATTTAGTGAGGCCTTCGGACTGGCGCTCTTGGATTGTCGGCCCCGTTGCCCGCGAGGGTTTTCTGGGGTCGTCGCCTCGAGCTGACGGAAAGATGTCCAAACTTGATCATTTAGAGGAAGTAAAAGTCGTAACAAGGTTTCCGTAGGTGAACCTGCGGAAGGATCATTAACAGAGAGAAAGAGAACGGGGCGCTCTTAAAACTACTACTACTCTCCTGATTTGGGCGGTCTCGGGCTCTGCTCTGGCAACTCCAGCAGCGAAAGAGGACAATCCCGGCCCCCGCACCAAAAATAGGTACCACCACGCTGTAGGTGGACCACACTCGGGCGAGAGCGCGAAGACCGGAGGAGGAGGACGGACGGGGCTTTGGGCGGCTGCCCGTCCGTTCCTTACTACCGGCGAATAAGCCTCTTGACCCAAAAAGAGTGAAATTCAAGTGTCAAAAAACAACAACAAGCCGTCCGGCCAAACCCAAACCACAAACTTGGGCTATGTCTGTCAAACCCTTTCATTGAGACTCGACCTGTGATGGTTAGTCGCAAAAAGACCAAATGGCAAATACACAACTCTTAACGGGGGATCACTCGGCTCGTGGGTCGATGAAGACCGCAGCAAACTGCGTGTCGGTATGTGAATCGCAAGAATACCAGATACATCGACCAGTTGAACGCATATTGCGGCGGCAACCATATGACTTATGCGCCACTCCTCTCTGGTCGGAAATATACATCCATCGGTTACTGCGAGTTCGATTGCCTGCTATTTGTCTCCCGACACGAGGTAACCCGAACCGAGCTTCCGCCTTGGGGTTTAATCGCCCGCGCCTTGCGCGAGGCGTGCCCTTAAAAACAAGCAAGCCTATCACTAGCAAGTCCATGGACTTGGCGCACCCACATTCAACCACAACAAAGCGACAGTTGTCGCCCTCGCAAATAACTGGAGGCGGCGCTCTTTTGCCTGCTGTCCACAGAGACACGAATGGGCGTCGGCCGCTCATGGCTGATGCTGCACATGTTCTAAGAGGCACTCCATCCCACGAAGAGGAAACGAAACCGGGTCGGATATCTTTTAAGTAAGCCCCGCCGGAATTTCGTCTATCACCTCGAAAAGAGTGCTTGGCATGCATTGCAGTGGAACCTAAATTGATGAGTGCGCCTGGGCCCGCAGTCTACCATGTAGTGGTGCAGGCAGAGAGATGAGAATGCTTGGGTGACGCCGTGCTCTTCCTCACGCGCTCCTCCACCCTCTCCCACGGTCAGGCGCGGTGTGGGCGTTCTCTTTGAGAGTTCGCCACGAGTCCACGTCTATCTCATGACTGGGAGGGAGGCAGGGGGAGTTCTCTCTAAACGCGTTAAAGACGGTGTTGCGCCTCATAACGGCGCTCGCCGGGATAGAGCACTAGTTCTGCAGCCGGAAAGGCCGCTCACGCCAATTAATACTGCGACTCTCGCTCTCTTTCTCCGGATAAACAAGTGCCACTGCTGTGGCATGCGGGAACGGGGAAAGAGGTCAAAGTTTAAGCGGCAAAGGTGCGGCCGAGTAAGGGCGGAACACGAGGGTATATGCATTAAAACTGTGTGTGTATATGACTCTGCGAGAGATGTTCTGCTGGAACACTTTTCCTATTGGCTATTTACCACTCAATGAGAAGGAACGGAGTCAGGGGTGGGAGTGCCGGCGCCATGGCCGCTGGTACCCCCGCGACAAGCCCCTCAAACCTTCCTGCCTGGTAATGTCGGTGGTGAAGAAAGTCGGTGGCAGAGCGTCTTCCGCTTCGTGGTTGGGGAACTTGTTCCCCTAAGGATGATGAGACCACGAT